TGTTTTTTTAAAGTCATCCATGCATAAGAATTTGGCATGGCGATCAATGCGTGAGTCTTTCACATCTGCGACTATAGACTTGCTCCAAGTTTCTCTCTCTCAGTACACGGGTAAAAATTGATCATGTTGTTCGGCATTGTTCAAAACAGGAGCGAACAATGTTGTGCTGCACCCCGTGAACAATATTGTTAACAAGTTGTTCAACCATCAGTGCTGTTGCAAGTTGTTAACATGATTGTCAACAAGTTGCAACAATGTTGATGGTTCAACAACTTGTTAACAATATTGTTCACGGGGTGCAGCACAACATTGTTCGCTCCTGTTTTGAACAACTTGCATCAATATGATGATTTTTACGCGTGTACCGTCCGTCACACCTAACATGACGTGTGCTGTACGTCATGTTAGATACAATATAATGGGACAATACTGCGAATCGCTGCTATGTTTAAATAAAGCATTTGAAAATGAAATGACTAAAATATATACGTACTGTATATGTAATGAAAAATTGCCATATTGTAAGTAAAGTAATGTTGAAGGGTTTTGTAGATTTTGTGGAAATTTCGAGTGTAAATTTAATACATTTTCTGGGTTCAAAATAACGCCTGATCAACGGATAAAGATCGGCAAAAAAATGCCTCTTGACTTTTTTACCTCGCTGGTCATTTTGACCAACCACATTTTCATGCCTTCCAATGTGATTGTTTCACTGTTAGTGTAAGTGTATCAATGCCCGGTGAATAACAGATTTTGACCGAGCTAAAATGAAGTTGACCGGAGACCTATCTCCCGTTACTTTGATCCCTGATTTCAGACCGAACCAGGAGCAGCTGCTAAAATGCAAGTATAGGCCCTCTGGCAGGAATTGAACCTGCGGTCCTGCGATTCCGGTGCGGAGCAACTCAACTATATACAGAGTCCAATTAATATAATTACATGAATTACTTGCGGTTAAACCTCAACTGCATGATACTCTCAACTAACAAGATTTTACTGTTTTATTTTTATCCATGCTAGCTCCCATTGCGAAGAATACTAAAACAAATCAGGTTACAAAACTGAAATCAAAATTCCGCTTCTTGGGCAAGTTTATCGCGAAAGCTATCATGGACTTCCGTATGTTGGACATTCCTTTAAGCCAGGCATTCTTCAAATGGATGCTTGGTAAGGAGAGTACGTTAGACTATCGTGATCTACATCATATTGATCCAGTCCTTGCTAAGTCTGTTGCTCAACTCCGGGATATCGTTCATAAACGTAAGAGACTTGAGGCGGATACTTCACACACACCAGACAGTCTGAAGTTAGCGGTGGAATCATTGACTTTGGATGGTTTGCCTATCGAAGATCTTGATTTAGATTTCAGGCTACCAGGAACTACAATAGACCTCAAGGTTTGATATTTTGACAGCTTTGTTTTTTATCTGAATTGTGATATAGTATAATATACATAGAAACATGATTTCCCTTTACCTGGACTTTGATGGTCGAGATGATTTTACGTGTCGAAACGGCACTATTATTGCTTTTTCTAGTTGAATGCGCAACCTCAGCTGCAGTAGTTTCTAATCTATGTTATAGTTTCGGCGATAGATACGACATGCGATAAAAATATGAATTGCTTTTCATTGCGACCAATTATAATATGCGCTGAAGCGTGAAAGGAAATTAAGATTTCGGCAGATGAGTCTGGTATATGCCCTGTTCAAGTAACATCTTAAAACAAATCTGCTATATTGGTTTTATTTTAACAGAAAGGTGGTAAAGATATCCCAGTCACAATACACAATCTAGAGGAATACATTAAGGTGGGAAAGTATTTGGTGATCTTTGTTTCTGGTTTCGCAATCTGCATGGACACTGCATGTGTATAGTATATATAGAACTCTATCGTAATATTCGACATGTGTTATTTTTTTCAGCTCGTCGTACAGTGGACGTTAATTGATGGTGTAACAAAACAAATGCAAGCCTTTAAAGAAGGTTTTGAAACCGTCTTTCCCTTGTCAAGTTTAAGCTGCTTCACACCAGAAGAGGTAAGGGAAGTGTTGTCGTCGTTTTCATGTTTGTTGAACTGTAAACGTGGGTTTTAGTCGTTTTAATAGGTTTGCACTTTTTTCATTACCTTTTGGCAAACCTTATTATTAAAGGATATGTGAATTACAATAAGGTCTTTTATTAAGGTCAGGGCGACAAATAAAATTAATCAATAAGGCCGACTTTCATCAATAACGACATGATTCACAATTTACACCGCCTCGTCCCCAGACGCTTTATAATAGGTTCGCATATATAAAGTATTACTATGGATGGTAGTAAACCAAGAGGCTGTTGGGAAGACGTCTTCATTTCCTATTGTTCGTTATAATTATAGCGCCTGGGAACTACGCACAGAATGAGTGCATGGTGTGCTTGGTGCAAGTACTCGCCTTTCAACAAATTGATGTAAATTTTATTTCTGACTATTCGGCGTAGGCATATTTTGACTCCAATAATATTTTGACTCGTATAAGTAGCTGAAATATAAGAAACGAAGATCTTCAAGTGCAAGAATTAGCGGGCTATCTTACTGTATAGTCTCATATTTTACAAATATTTACTGTATTACAAATGTTTTGTTTCTAGATGGATTTACTATTATGTGGAAGCACAGCTGAAACCTGGGATGTAAAAAGTAAGTTTGTCGTGTTCATTAGAGCTCCAGCCGGAACTAAGTGACTGCGAATTATAGAACAAAACATGGTGAATAATCCGCTCATGCTTGTTCATATCGTTGTTATCTAACTTAAAACTTTGGATAAATCTTCTAGTTTAGGAAACTTTAGAATGGAACAAGTATGACTTATCCTATTATACGAATTATTCCTGTTGTTACATGCACTGGCCGCAACCGAAACGTGGAATAAAGTCAGATTTCCGTTTACTATTATAATGTTTACTATTTGCTAGTATACTGCTGGGTTTTATGATTTTTAGCGTTGTAAAAAATGCTTGTTTGATTTAAATAAAACAGTGATAGCTTAGTTAATACCGCATGAAATTTTTATTGTAATGTATCAGAATTACGTTACTTTAACACTGGATACATTAAAATTTATTTGAGCGAAGTAACTGTTCTAGTTTTTCCACTATATGAATCGGTAGTGCTGGCACGGTTAAGATAAACATATGTTGTATTTTAAAAAATGAAAACATGACTTTTGTTCTAGGTTTGATGGAAAACTGTCGACCTGACCATGGATACACACATGACAGGTTTGTAGTCTGTAGTTTTGTAGTCTTGTGGCTTTTTAAATTTAATTTTAAAAAGCGGTTCTAAAGAAGTTATACTGCGGCTAGGATTGGATCCCTATGATAATGGCAGTTATAGTACAGTAATCTATTTAATATAAGAACCACTTGCTGAACGTTTGGCCGTAGTTCATGTAACACTTCTGGAATAACATAGCTAGCCTATGTTAAAATTCATATATGTTCTTTATAATTGTAGCCGCGCTGTCAAGTTTCTATTCGAAATACTTAGTTCATACGATAAGGACGAAAGAAGACGCTTTCTACAGTTTGTTACTGGAAGTCCTAAGCTTCCTGTTGGAGGTTAGTTGATATCTTAAGGTAGCTTTTTACGTCTAACATAACTAACAAAAATGCATGTTTAACGCATCAAACGGACATTATTTAACGGATGAAACTATAACCACTATCCAGAGATCGGAGTGTTCTCCATGTCAACTATAGTCACTCGGTTTTAACAACGGGCCTAACACTGTGGAAATTGTGGTTGCTATGGCAACATAATCGTTTAAATATATCCAATTATCGTCGTGATTTTCATCATTAATATAATCGTCTTTGTCGTCATCATAACAACCATAAGAAAGGTTGATATACTATTGCAATAATTATACATCAGTTCTCAATGCTAACTCAACTGCTTTTATAGGTTTCAAGAGACTAACACCACCCTTGAAAATCGTTCGCAAAACACTCGAGGCGTCTATGTCTCCGGACAGCTATCTCCCGTCAGTCATGACCTGTATGAACTATCTCAAACTACCAGATTACTCCACTAAAGAAATTATGAAGGAGAAACTACACCAAGCCGCCGTCGAAGGCCAACATTCATTCCATCTTTCATAAGATTACTCGTAATGCTAAAGACTTAGTGATACGACACGTGGCGTGAAGCCATTCAAACTCTTGTAAAAATTGACATTAATTTTTAAGAAGACGAACTAACATATACAGTTAGCTGTACCAGTTGAGGGAAACGTGACGGTTGTGTTCTGTTAGTTCGATCATCCATCCGGGTTTTGTTAATTCTTTGTTGCGTTTTAATTTGAGATATTAGTTTTTTTAAAAGTGCTTATGCAACTCTTCAATTAACATTTCTGGTACAATGGTGGAAACTGGCGATAAATAATAAGTGGCGTTTTACAGTAGTATTTCATATCTTCAAATTATATTTCAAGATTAATTGCTTTGCAATGATCTGCATGCAATGGACCTTATAAACATTGAAATGTGTAGAGATCTGGTCATTTTAATTGATGCTTTTTCAATTTGCATTTCAAAAGTAGCGTACGCATTTGTAAACTCGGAGCACCATTACTCTTACATACGACTCCCTTACTCTTTGTTATAGGTTCCTCTCTGTACTTTATATGCAGCGGTAAAGCTAGTTGTTTGTAAATCACATGATCTGGGCTTGCTAGAAGTTTCAAGTGTTTATTTTTTCCAATAATTCCGTTCAAAGAAATATTGGATCAACTAAGGCCGCGTTTACACTATGACGCTACGGCAAATTTACCGTAGCGTAGTGATTTGCATCCGGAGTGCCAAACTTAGTGGTCTGTAGTTAATACGCTACGGCAAACCACTCCGTTGTAGTGTAAACACAATACTTAAGAAATGTAGTGAATTTTTAACGGAATTGATTTCCGTAGTTAGTACGCTACGGCAAACCGTTATAGTGTAAACACAATATAGTCTTTATACTAGAAACGTAGTAAATTTTTAACGGAGTGTTAGCCGTAGCGTCATAGTGTAAACGCGGCCTAAATTATTATCCTAGAGCTGTGTTCTTTTCGCCTTGTGTACGGCTCGGAGTGCACGAAACGATCTTTTACACAAAATGCTTACAGATAGTGCCACGATTAATAATGGAGGGTAGGTAGAATAGCGAAATCTTTGCGGGCAATGGTCCTTAACGAATCATGCCTTCTTGTGTTTGTTGCGAAAGTCGCTGATATTGTATTTCCCCGGAAGAACTTACCTGAGGGGGAGTTATGGTTCTCCTAGCTCCTTCGAAGACTGATATGAGTAATACTGTTGCAGTTCACGAAGGTTTGGCGGCGCGAACTGCTTCGGTTAATACACGCTTCCGGAAAGTTCGTCACCTTGGCAATAGAGCCTCGATTTCATGATTGCAACGTTGGACTTTAAAGGCCCTGTTACACGGTGCAATTTTTCATGCAACTTGTCTCGCAATGTTTAAAAAAAGATTTTGATAATGCATTGCAAGAGGTGTTACACGCTGCAAGGGACAGGCATGCGAAGAGAATAGGGAGAGGCGCAATTTGGCGCCAAATTTTAATTAAAGCGTGTACTGGGGAGAGCCAATAGGAACTCTCCAAGCATTAAGGTTCGGTCACACGGAGCGACAAGTCGCAGGGGCATGTTGCAGGGACATGTCGCGGGGTCGAATTTCATCGTGTGTCACATGTGTAAGCGTTGTCGCGGGGACCTTGTCCCCGCGACATGTCGCATGAAATCAAATTGATTTGATTTCATGCGACGTGTCGCGGGGACAAAAACCGTTGCCGCGACTTGTTGCATCGTGTGAGCTAGTCTGTTCACAAGTCGCGGGGAAATAATTAGTCCGACCAATCACAAAATATCATTCCCATGACTACTTGCGCGCTCAATTTCAATATAAGTCCTCATGGGAGTTCTTTGACTTGTCGCATGAATTGTCGCCTCGTGTGACCACGCGCCTGTAAGCGCTTGTGCGACTTGTTTTCGCCTAGCATTGTCGCTTCGTGTGACTCGTTTCGGGCGACATGTCCCTGCAACATGCCCCTGCGACTTGTCGCTCCGTGTGACCGAACCTTTAAACATTGCGAGACAAGTCGCACGAAGCCATGTTACACGCTGCAATGCTAAAAATAATTAGTGCCATCGTTGCCAAAAGTAGAACCGACTTCTACTCTCTGCAATGCTTCATGGAACTTGTCTCGCAACGATTTTGACCATTGCAAGGCATGTTAAAGGGTGCAATGACTCGTGCAACTTGTCTCGCAACGCCATTGCGAGACAAGTTGCATGAAAAATTGCACCGTGTAACAGGGCCTTAACTAACGCCGCACGAAAACGAGACTCTGTGGCCAAGGTACGTACTTTCTGGAAGGGTGTATTGGTATAACGCACGCAGGCTAAGTGTAACCCACATTAAAGTCGAGTATTCATACGTTTTCTATTGCATTAATTTAGTAGTTTTACAGCATTTTAGGTGTTTTTTCCTCGGTTGAAAAAATCATTTACCCCTGACCAGAAAAACTATATGGTTTGTCGAGTATTGGTGGCACTGACAGTTAGTGCATTGTCTTTCACCGAACTTCGATTCACACAATTATACAGTGCGTGCAGCTCGCGGGAATTCTTTACCAACCTTCTTTAATCAAGTTGCATATCTGCATGCGAGCCATTTAGCCTTTCAAGGTCCGGATACGATTCGACAACGCGACGCGATTTTTCGATTTTCACTGACCGATAACTTTGATCCTAGTTTAAATTTTCTAAATATTTCGAATCGCTATAACATTTTGAGCTATTTGGTCTACATATCTTTCAAAATTTGCTCTCGTTGGCTGTTTTATTAACTTTCAAAAACTAAAAAGTCGCGTCGCGTTGCTGAAGTCTGGACCTTCACACGAAGGCCAAATTCGCCATTTTTGGGGTACTTTTTTGAAAACGACGTGAGAAATCTAAGCGATGTGAAAACATTTTTTCAAATATTTAACTGTAAATTAATTATTAAATGATTATAATTATAGTTCTACAAATCCCTTATTCACTGCGTACAATCTCCGATTTGGAAAAGGCAGTACCCCAAAAATGGCGGCGTGAGAAATGCTAATTCCTCTATTATTATTTATTATTATTTAAACTTATTTAAAAACGGTAGCCCTTCAGCACAAAGAAACTGACTTTCAAGGGGCCGTTTGAATACAATATTAAAAACATTGTACACACTAATACTTAACTAAGGGACGGACCATTAGAAAAGTGATGGGGGGGGGGATTTTCTAAGAGGCAATATTTTTTTTTTGTACACCTATAGAAGAAATTTTTTTTTTTCTCACTTGATGGTTGGAAATATATTTTTTTTAAAGGGGCCCTACAGTAATTTTTTAGTCAAGTAAGTATTGTTTACATTTTTTGTTATTGTCGCTACTTGACATGCGCACCACAGTATGCATGCGTTTTCTGTGTGCGAAAGTACTCATACTCATGGATACTGCATGTAAGATACAGCCAAACGAATCTCCGTGGAGTCCCCTACTTAAGGTGGCTTTCGACTAAAAAATGACTGTAGGGCCCTTTAAGTGAAATTTATAGGCCTATTAGTGGTGTAGTCCTGGAATGTTAACAAGGGGGGCTCTCCAAAGTGCCCTGAATTGGCGGGAGGGGAGGGGAGGTACAATAAGATATTTTAGAAATTCTAAATTTTGTTGGGGTTTATTCTAGTAATTCTGGGACAAACATTTGACATTATTCTTATTAAAAACAAGCCGAAGCGAGGGCCGAAGGCCCGAGGAAATTTTTAAATTTAGAGTCTCTGAAATGCCATTTCCTGGACTTTGGGGAAGATTTGACAGAATTCTGATGGTCAGAAAACAGCGTTTTAGTATGTCGAAATTTACAATTTAGTGGTACTAAATGATATAAACATTACAAAAATGGCGATATAAAGATTACAAAAATCATTGTGTTAAATGATGAGTGAAAATGAGATGCAATTCTAAAGAACATTCTCGTTTACTGGTATTTTTTGTGTGTGTTTTCGCACGTTGTTAAGATTATCAATTATGCAACGTGCCATAATATAGGGGGGCTCAGCACGCTGGTCACATTCAGCAAATTTTCTCCCAGGATCGCAGGCTCATATTGTCAGTGGACTTGCGGTGTAAAATTGAAACTTTTGCATTTTTCAAAGAACTGGCCACTTTCTGTAAGATGTCCGCTGTCAATACGAACCCGCACGAGTGGGAGAAATTTTGCTAAATTTGACCAACGTGCAGCCCCCCAAGTCAACATGAAATTTCAACAAGGGGGCTCAGCTCCCCTGAGCCCTCCCTCCAGTACACCACTTGGCCTATCTTCTAAGCAAGGAATTTTTTTTTTTGCACTATGCCTTGAAAGATTTTTTTTTTTCATTTTTTTCTGGGAATAAATTTTTTTTTTGGTTTTGCCCCACCCCCCCCCATCACTTTTCTAATGGTCCGTCCCTAATACAAACACACTAAATAATATGTATGTATATAAAGTAACAAATCAGGATTAGAAACAGCATTGGCTACCAAGAATACGAGGTAAATCCTATTTTCCCACAGAATGTAAGTTTGCTTTTGATGTTGTTGCTTCTTGTGATTATATTGTGATCTTGCTCAGATTTTGCAAACAGTATCCAAGTTAATATAGCGTTCGTTAAAGTTTATTTTATTGAATTTTACAAGCATTATATGGAACTTGATGCAAACAATTTATACTTCAAACAATTTAATATAGGCAGGAAATAATGCTGCGTACAAATGGCAACCCCCACTTCGAATAGCTTCTCTAAATGTGCAGGCATTTTGTAAAATTTATGTATGTGTTTTAAAGGTTTTTGTAATTAGGCTTTCTCATGCCGCCATTTTTGGGGTACTTTTCTGCCAATTCTGCGAGCGTAACGGCGACATTTTATAATTTGGTGGGGTATGATTGTAAATTTACCCTATAAATAGTTTGTTCTGAAGTATTGCTTTCCACATTGTTATAATCGTTTACGAAAAATTACAGTACCCCAAAATGGCGGTGTGAGAAAGGCCAATTGATTTGCACTGTCATACTAAAGCCCCGTTTACACTACGCTCAATTTTTGGTACGGCACGGATAAGATTGGTACCCTACCACTTTTTTGGTTCATGGACTACCTATTTCCAAGAACCAAAAAGTGGTACGGTACCAAAAATTGAGCGTAGTGTAAACGGGGCTTAGCTAAATAGGTAGTCCAAGGACCAAAAAAGTGGTACGGGTACCAAAAATTGAGTGTAGTGTAAACGGGGCTTAAGTTTCGGAAGAAAAGAGGGGTCTGGGGTCCTCCCCCAGAAAATTTTTACATTTTTGAAGGTCTTTATATTTGTTGCTAGTTCCAGTCTCTTCGCTCACATTCATATCAGCTGATGCGAAACGGTTACCCTTTTCATAAATTACATTCTACGTATTTAACAATAAACTAAAAGTAAGATATAAAGCTTCGAACAATCGAACTCATTCTAATATGCGAGGAATCGATCTTATATATATGTCTTATTATTAGACTATTATTACTGCATTTCTTGTTCATCAACCTCAACGGCCAGGTCAAGGGACTCTACAAATCATACAAACTCAACGCGAATTAAAACTAATTATTATCCCTATCTACTGTTTATTTATACATCAATAGGTAAGAAAATTTTTGAAAAGTCCCTCAGAATGCTACATCTATACACATAAAAATCACACAAGTTCAGCGGTTGAGATAATATCCGTGGCTTGATGACTAGTTGATGGTGGATTTTCACTCAGCAATGGTGTTGTTTCATTAGCATCAACATGGGCACTTGTTGGAGGACCATCCTTTGACTCGTGTTTCTCCACTGGTTGCTTGCACACCGGGCACGTTTTTTTGCCATTCGTTAACCAAGGGTCTACACACTTGCTGTGATAAGCTATACAAAAAATTATGTTTTTAGACTTGCAACCAAAAACTTGAAAACCGGAAGAGCGGCGCAGATGGATCACTGGGCCATTTGCCTTATAGCGATGCCCGCTACGCATGACGGTAGGAGTTGCCACTTTGCAATCGAACGACATGGCGACTGTAGAGGGAGCGATTTTGTTTTGAAGATGAAATGGCGGATTACAACTTTTTGCATCCATCGATAACTTTTATCCCCAGGAAAATAACAAGAGAGCTCTTAACTACTTGTACATGTAATTTCATGGCGTTGCGTGTATTCACTGTATTTAATAATGGCGAAGAAAATGCATTGGCAAGGAGCCAAGGAGGTGACATGTGAATAAAGTTTCGCAAAATGTTTTTTTGCAAAATAGTGACCTCACGAACAAAAACAAGTCAATTCGCGTTTTAAATTAAGATCGTAAATTTTTTTGTCAAAATTAACTTTCACTGACGGTTGTTTGTACTGAATCTCTAAGTTATTTGGATTCGATAAATTTCTAAATGCCATTTTAAGCTTGTGAATTTGATATTCGAAGGTTTCATCCAAAGACCAAGCGTCTCTTTGGCCATATTTTAAAGCCTGCTCGATCTGAATAAGTTTACTTTTACTAATTCCCGAATACACCATGCCCGTTTCATCTTCAAAACAAAGTCGCTCGCTCCCACAGTCGCGATGTCGTTCGATTGCAAAGTGACGACTCCTACCGCCATGCACAGCGGGCATCGCTATAAGGAAAGTGGCCCAATGGCAAAAGCAGATCATATTTCAACCTCACAGGCAAAAATAATTTTGAGATGCAAATTCAAATTTGACCTGCAAAGTTTGTTAATTTCAAAACAAAATTAAGCTTGAGTAATGTATACAATAGAAAACTTCCGATACTTGTTCTGATAAATTAATAGTCATGCTACATTATGTAGAAATAGATCAACAAAATAGAAATGAAAATTAACAGTAACAGCAGGCAGTAATTAATTTGGTCTGCCAGAAACATGTCAGGCCGTTTTCCTATTTCGAGCCCTGGACGAAATTCGTTTTGGGTGGCAAATAGAAAATTTGGAACTTTTAGCATCACTTGCACGAGGAAACTGGAATATTCAAAGTCAGTGAAAAGAACAACGCTCGAGCACATTTTGAATCAGTGCAACGTCGTCTCTACATTTCGAATATCTCGTGGTCACCTTCAAACAAGAGATATGAAAGGACGTGAAGAAAACATGAAGGACAATAAGAACTTACCATGATGACATGGAAGCACGCGCAACTTTTCTCCCAGTTTGTAATCTTCCAAACATATCGCACACAGATCGTAATCATCGCCTAACATCAACAAAATTTAAAAGACATAGAAAGTCAAATAGAAAGTAAAAACACCACGGTTCCATAGAATCATGTTTTTGTCAGTCTCTGTTTGTACAAACGCAACCTACACTACAGTATCTGCTTATCAAAGAACGTCACACAATAATTTTGAAATGTGAACGTGATACAGCAACGAAGCGAAATTTTTCAGTTTATAGAAACCGAAAGAAACATAATTACTTTTGATATAATAATTGGAGCGCTGGAGCAATATATGCATATATACGGTCTGCATAGCTTCTGAATTTTTATTCATAGACAGTTTTATTTGCTTTTTGAACAATTGTTGTATTGCAAAAACGCGCCAAGTGTGTGTACCTTTAACGCTGGCTGTGCCTTCGCCGCCTTGCAATAAAAACAGCCACGCATGCATGCATTCACTGAGTGAAGAGGATCAACAAAAACATGAAAACGTCAGTTTTCATAAAATTTCGAAATAATCGATCGGCATTGCCGATTAGTTGGCTCATCATTTAGTTATTTGTCTAAAAACACGCATTTCTTTACTAGAAAAAATATTACTAAACTTCAAAATTCCAATCTTCACCAAACCAACCTTTGCGCCGGAATCGTCAGTTTTATGAGAATTGGTATGGCTATGCACATGTAACTCGCAAGAACTGTTTGACAAAAGTACACAAAATACCCAGGTCTGAAAATATCGGTCAGAGAACCGTCTGACAAAACGTTCGATGACTTTAAGTTTGGGTCGGACATATATTGTGATGTCCGATGACTTTGAGTTCAGTTTGGCTTGGAAATAAGTATGAATGCAGACACAAATTAATATCAGCACAATTTGTAAAAGTCTTCTGAATCTTGGCAATGAATTTCCAAACGCCACGGTGAAAATCCGCACTTGATTACATATTTCCAGTTCACTTTTTATACATTACTCCGATTCTCCATTTAACAAACAAACGTTGGACAAAGTTCCACCAGACACCACTTCACTCGGGTCGGACAAACAATAAACCTCAGTTTCACTTAGGTCGGACAGAATGTCCGGTAGTTTCCTCACTACATCGGACAATTTCACGAATGTGTCGGACAATGTCCGTGACCGACAGATATTTTAAGGCCTGTAAAATATTTAGTGTCTAAATTTCGATCAAGGTTGACATTACCTTCTTTAAATTTCCTAGTTGGTATCTTCTTTAAATTAGCAGGAGTTAAACGACTTCGACGTTCATGTAATCTCGCTCTCCAATACTTAACACCCTATAGAACAGTATTCAACACAATGTTACAATTCTCATGCAAAAAATCCAATCAAGTGATTTGTATGCATTTCCTTGGGATTTGCTCATGTGAACTGATGTTATATTGAGACTATACGACACACGACACCGAACGAATTCGGAAGTGTATGCAAATTCATTCCTTTTGTTCACACGCAAATTCGCACGGTTAGCCAGGCCTGGGTTAGTTCACGTGCAGTTTCAGACGAACTCGTGAAAATAGGAGTACGGTTCCGAATTCATCCGGTCCTGTGTGTAAAGAGAATTAGAAAATCCTAATAACATGATGACAAAAAATATAAACGAGAAAGCTTCAGATTGATAGGGATACAACTACCTGAAAAATACAAGGAGAAGAACTTCGCCGTTTCGAGCGAAGGCTCTTCGTCAGGAAGTTATAAACATCAGTTGCAACAAATTGAATATCTTATTGAGAAACTTTTGGGTACGGTATACAGAGTGTATAAAAAAAACTGAAAAGATTTGAAATTGCTCTCAATTTCGCAAAACACCTATTTGTATCCGGTTTTTTATATACATAGCTTCTTTGGGTACTTATAATGTAGATAATGAAAAAAAATTTTTGAACTCAAATTTTGTGAACCAGGGGTCTTTTCAACAAACTAAAAATGGCTCGCGCACAAAATTTAAAAGTTGTTAAAGTAATTAAAAACCCAACAAAGTTTCCATCTATTAACTCAAAATATGATTACAACTTTTAAATTTTGTGCGCGAGCCATTTTTAGTTTGTTGGAAAAGACACACCCCCCTGGTTCACAAAATTTGAGTTTGAGAAATTTTTTTCATTATTCTACATTATAAGTACCGCGCGTGCAAATTCAAACCGATGACGAAAGACAAACCTCCGCGTCAGCGACCGACCGTTGATGTTGACGAATAAAACACTAACTGAATTAATTGCCCGAAGATCGTCTTGAATAAGGCGTGAAACTTGAGTAGCAATAATTAAATAAATGCAGAGCCCAGTCGCATTGCATTCACGAATCACGACCCAACGTTTCGACATTCTAGCCGGTGTCTTCATCAGGGGTGACCTGATGCCCCAACGTGGCTTCTTATATACATCACCTCCCAACACGGTGGAGATAAATAACTACCGTCATGATTCATGTTCTTATACCACGCTCCTATAGGCAACGTCTTTGGTCCGTTTTAATCGCATACTAATTGGTTTCACATACATGTTCTGCTAAAGTTGATTTCCCCTTGTTTAAAGATAAAACAGCCTTTTGATGTTCTTTTAAACGCGTGGCAAATTGGCGCATAGACTCAGATACTGTACTTACAGGCACCGCATGGATATAGAGTATACAGCTTGTGTTTTCTGCATGCATGATCGACACGATCTTCCGAAAAGTGCTATGAAAGATTATTAAGAAACATTGCAGTCACGCAGAAAAAGAAGCGAGGCGTACTTACCAGAAAGAGAAGCATTAACATGAAACATATCCCAATAATAATTAACAACGGAATGAGGTAGATCTCAAAATTGAACTTGAGGTCCACATGAATGCTGGCCACAGCACTTTAAAGAGAAGATAAATATCACTATTAATAAAAATTCAGGAAGAGGTTTGCTCTGATTTTAGTTTTTGGTTTTGTCGTCACGGTCACAAGTAGTGTGAGTTTCAATATCTCTCTGCAATCAATAACGACTGATTTGCATACAGTGCATATATCATTTTACAAATTATTCTAACAAACGATTCTATATGATGACAAATTCCGTTCGGCGAAATAAAGCAATTCAAAAATTCATGAGGTAAGAAACTTGCCACGTAAAGGCCGTTTTTCAATTCAACCATACAGAATCGAAACGTACTAGTATACGTTAAAAGTAAGAGGCTATATTTAAAGGTTGACAAGGGTTCTTCCAATTTGGAGTACCACTTCTCATTGCTCAAATGGTTACCCGTGATGGCAGTATGGCGTCTAAAACTCCATCGACACATTCAATATTTCATTGTATTAATAGTCGTCGTTGTCGCATTGCCTCCTACTTGTTTAAATTAAGGTCCCTAAAGTATTAGTCTTTAAACCGCCTTATAAACAGATTACGTCATTTACACTTAAAAATCTAAATAGTAAATCAAAACTGAAGAACGAACATACTTTGTTGAAACGTTGTATTTTTGTAAAACTTCACCAGTATTCTAAAAATATTTAATGCATATATACAATACATCACAATTAAAGAATAGTACTAATTTGAACTAAACTTAGGTTGGGAATGGACAAAAATCAGTGATAATGGTCTGGTCATTACAGGCATCTATGTCGTTAAACACTTAAACTTAAATATTTTCGCAGAGGTTTTTTAGGATTTTTAGCTTATACCTAAACAGCTGGGCTCTGAAAAAGAATTGCAAGCGGTATATTCGTCTTTTCTGACCTTGTATACTTGTTGGGTTTCCAACGGGAAAATTTTTCCACGTCACAAATTTAACCAACTTCATTTTTACTGCAAGTTTCAACTTTTAATGGAACGATTAAGTTTCAAAACTCAAGTCCAGATTGAGTGTTTATATCGATATTTAAAAACTACCGGCTCTGTGATTCTCAAATCTCTCGCGACTTTTCCACAGATATAAACAAGATTCTTAAAAGATCAGTGACTAATTGCTTAATTAAAGCTCAGTTATATAAACTACACGCATACCTTTCCTACGTACAAACCAAGTATATCAATTCGAGAACCTAGAATTCAATGAAAAATAAATTGAAATTATACCATATCTCAAATTGAAGGTGTCCGACCGTAACGCGGTAAGAATATCAGAGACTTGTCCGGGTGGCTCGTTGCCAATTGTTTGTTCTTATCACGTTATGACGTCATACTGTGTATGTATAACTCAACATACAACAGCAAAATCTATTCGTCACATGAGTCAAAAAGAAAAGTGTTGCACTTCCACTTCTGTTGTCAAGTATTTCGCCAAATGCGACCGCGATTTTTCATTAATACTTCGAGAACCGTGTAATTTCCTATTATGCTTCTTTTCAATTTCAGGAGCTTTATTAATTGAATAAAATTCCAATCCAAAAATAATGTTTTCAAGTAAAAGAATAGTGCAGTGCGTTTTAAAAGGCTGAAAGGCATGGGTGAGTAAAATTTGTAATTTTGTCATGCAAATAATAAACAAGCGACTCGTGCAATTTAAACACAGTTCAGCCTTTTGATTGATGGTTTTTAAGGCGCATTACAACCCTTTTAATTTAAAAAACTAACTAGGAAAATCAATTAAGCATAATTCAAAATCAGTGAACTCAATGTTTTTAACATTAAAAATGTTAAAAACATTGAGATCACTGATCTTGAATTATGCTTAATTGATTTTCCTAGTTAGTTTTTCAATTAAAAGGGTTGTAACGCGCCTTAAAACCCATCATCCAAAATGCTGAACTGTGCCTTAAGCAAATTTCACTCGTACTGTTCTACTTCTGGAATCTGTTACACCTAATATTAATGGCACTCGTCATCACCTGCAGAAATGTTGGTAGTATATTTACCGACAATTAATAAACCATCTCTTTATTGCGCCTGCGGTAAATTCGTGTTCAATTGCCGAATGCATATAATGGAGGCAATCATATAGTTTGGTATGTCTTGATTGATCTTTTTACACAAAATTCAAAGTGATAACGAACCTTTCATAGTTATCAAGCTATTGGAAGTCAAACTTCTGACAATTGCAACACTATATCCAGCATTCTGTGCATTTTTTAACTAAAATGGAAGAAAGGAAAGATAACCTGATAAAATATTAACTAACAGGGTGCTATATAATAGTCGACCACTGACCATTTTCCATGTTCTGAGCAAAATGACGATTATGGCCGTCTAGGTCTACTCTCAGCCGATCACAAAGTGTATAACAATGATCCCAGGCCCTCGTAATATAAAAGTTCTACCTCATGCTTATATATTCCCACCACTGTTCTCAGATTCTGCCTGGATAAAATCTGACATGCATGTTGCTGGGATCACTCTGTCTTAGTCGGTGTAGACCCCAAATAAAACATAAACACGTTTCGAAACTAGGGTTTCCCCCGTATGCTACTCTATCCCGGCCAGGTGGGGTGAACATGCCTTCTAAGCATACCTATAACCTCGCCTATATTATTTTCAGCGAAAACATGGCACAATATATCATTCTACTGGCAGTGTTTTTGTCCATTCATACACTATCCTTCCTAAATAAGTTTCCCAGCTATATGTGGGGTGTAAACGTTGGTCCTGCCCTGCGTAACTTGGATAACATATAAAACAGGCCCTAAGTAAGTCAATAGTATATTACGGTATAAAATTTTGCTACAATTGTTACATGTAGCAGCTTACACTTAAATCCCACTTTAACACAGATATATAATATTCAACAGTCAGTTATCCAACAACTATCAATGATAAACAATGTGTTTACAGCAACAAATAACAAATACCTTGTCATAATAACTACATCCCCCATCATCAACTAATAGAAAATAATTTTGTCCACTTTTTGGGAAAGGTGGGTCTACTGGTCTGCAAGCTTCACTTGGATTTGCAACATAAATCATTCCCTGTGGAAACAATGATAACATAAACACTAACTTCAATTGGGAAGTTCAGATTTTCGTACTGAGATGAAAAAGTACAGTAAATGGAACATTTATAAAGAAAATATTTGCCCAAAAAAATTTTAATAGATAAAAGGAGAAATTCAGAGGAAAAATTCTAACTAATGTAAAGAATGTTACCTATACTGTAGGGTATGACCTCAGGAATGCAATTATGAGTGCATCCATCTTAATAGTACAATAGTGTGTAATTGTATAGACTATAGAATAATGTAACAAATTTTGTATGGCAAATGCATTTTTAGTCAATCTGGAGCACCTAATCTTCAAAATTTTCTGGGGACCATGTATCCCTCTGGTAGTGTCCCCTAGTAGTGCCTTTTTTTAGCATCTTTATTCACCTTAGGATCAGACCATTCATCAGTGGCGTAACTAGCGAAAGTAAAATATTTTTTCCACCCCTGTGCAGTAGACACCAAGCTCTTTTGCGACTTATGATTGTTGAAGATCAGCAGGTTATATATACAGTACAATATTGCTTACAGTTCAGTTGAAAACTAATAAAACTGAATGTTTTTCATATCCAGTACAATTTTTGGAAAGTTTGTTTGTTACTGAATGATAGAACTGCAATAATCTCACCTTAAATGTTCCCAAATAGGAATACCCAAATTGTCCTTCTTCATCATCACAGGGACCAAATGTGTAGTTATGCCATTGCTACAAGAAAACACAGTTCATTTTATTTTACATAATCCTTAATACAAAGGGTAACAATAATAGTGCTGCTAATAATAACCTCAAAAATAAAACAGGGTTCGTACATGTCAGGAAGAGTCAAATTCACAGATTTTTTAAGGACATTCAAGACCATGTATCAGCAAATTCAAGGACAAAATACTGAAGAGAAGGCGTTAGAAATCTTAGGATTCAGTAACATGTGACGTTGAATTGTTCAAACAGGGCGCAACTTTAATGAATTTCAAATAGCTTTGTCACACATGAACATGCAAAATCAATTCAACAAAATCTCCGTTTTGAATGTCAAACAATTTCAGAAAATATCCAATACTAAAGCAAGAGGAATTTAAGGACTTTCAAGTACCTCTTTACAAATTCAAGGATATTCAAGGCCTTGGATTTTTGTTTTCAAATTCAAGGACTTTCAAAAGTTTGTACGAACCCTGATAACAAACAGCAAGGCTCTTTTCCACTCTTCGCAAAAACAGCTCACAGCTCGCAGCAAGTACTAGCGAGTATTAACTCACAGCAAGCTGCAAACACTCGCAGCAAAGTTAAATAATTTGAACAATATTTTCTGATCGCGCAAACAAAGAAGACCAGTAGCCAATGGAATTCGTTGAAAATATATAATCTATATTCGAATAATATAATTTACAGAATATCGGGTGAACCCAAAAACGTTATGCGTACTTGAGACGTCTTCTCCTACCGTCTTAAATAAAGTAAGAGCAAAAGGCGCCGATTTAAAGCGGTCACCATTTTGCAAAAACGTAATTTTGGGGGGGTTAAATAGACCTCTACATGTAATGTTTTTGTTGTATTGTTAATTTTCCATTGTATATTGCTAATTGTTTTTGTACCTGAATACCATTACACTGAAAAGAAACCATCTCTCAAAGGTGTAATAAACATTGCGATGGGCAATTTGCACACAAAATTGAGGAGGTCTACTGATATTAAGATCATACTTTTGTTTATCTGTGCACTTGTATACTATTATCATGATACAATATACAAGTTGTATTTATATCGGACATTTAACGGCATAGTATTAGTGTTTCGAGGTAGGTGCCACTTGTGGTCGAAGGCTGCAACGTCTTGCTGGCAACAATTATAGCACAACCAGTAAAATTACAGCAAAAGAAACTTTCGCCATGACAATTCTGCCAAGGCATCCCTCTGGCACCTGTCACACTGACGAGTCAGTGGCAAATATACAATCTATAGTGGTCTATACATTGTACTTGTTGAACTAACAATGTTTAAATAAAACAAAAATTGGGTGGGGAAACAGCGAAGGGGTAACAAGCGCAACTTGCTGCAACAAGGCAAGGCAAAAACAGACAATTGATCTGATCAGGGCGCCACGAACAGTTATACGACATCATGGGCTTCCCCCAAATGGAAGTCAACATGCATGCATAATGCATCTGCCGTTAATTAACCTTGCTTTTAAGCAATAACCTCATTTTTCATCAATATGGTGGTGACTATATATAAACAGTAACAGAATTAAGCAAATTAGGTCAGCTATACACTGTCTACTTATCTCCATAGCATCTGACAAATGCATCTCTATATTGCTTAAATGAATTATTACTTCAGCCAGTCAGTCTGTGACATTACTATCTAATTGTTTGTGATATCACTATTAATCTTAGCTGTATAGTACTATGTATGACTTGTTTTATTCAATAGTAAGTTAATTCTATACTTACCACACTAATTTCAGACTTTCCATATCCTATTTGTAGAAAGATGAAAGACAAACCAAACAGGACAATGAATGAATCCATTGAGAAAACTGAAAAAGGATAAGTGATGTTTACAGAGAGGCTACTGTTAGTACTGTACGATGGCAACACGGGGTTCACTCGTTAATAGATAGCATTATAACATTATGCATATTGCATTTTTATCAAATCAACTAACAGTGTTTTCACAGGTGGAAAGGTAAGCCAAAAACTGGTTTATTGCTGGATTAATATATTGAGAATAACAGATCACCTTCCTATTTTTTGAATCATCAGCAAGATGTCTTAAAGTTTCGGCAACATTACAGTAGGTAGGTACAGACGTGATCTCAATGAGGTCCAGTCTGTCAACTGGGATGAGATATTACCTTCTAGCAATCTCGTCCATATGATATTTACTGCCAAGCAGGACAGAAGTGCAAATTTTGTCATATATATGAGAAGAAATTATGGTTCCAAAAGGACTTGGAATATAATGCAATTAAGGGCAGACATGGAATTTATGTGCTAGAAACCCGAGACAACCATTCACTGTGAGTTACTGCAACAAACTTTTTTGGCCATTCTGCAAAAAACCTTCAGTTGATGCTAAATGATACCAGCATGATAGGCACTCTTCGAACACTATAAGCAGTTGCACTCAACTGCAAGTCAACTCCCATTTATAAGCTTATTCCATAGATCTCTAAGAAAATGAACAGAACATTGGAAAGAAACATTTTCTACATCGAGAAAATGGTTTGCCAATCTAGATTTTCTAATAGTAGTTTTAACACTCTCACAGATAAAATTAGTTTCAAAATAAGCGCACAGACACATAAAGTAATTATTTGTGTTTAGTATAAATTTCCAGGTGACTATTGATTTTTCTGCATTCTGATTGGTCAAGATTCACTGTCTCTGAAGTGATAGTCACTGGTCAGTGACTATAGTTTTTTTTTCAAAATGGCTGCTCGTTTTGCCGTAGTAACAGAGGAGGAAATTGCCAAAATTAAAGAAGATAGCATTCCGAAAAAACCCAAACAAGCTACAAAATATGGTTTAAAAATATTTCAAGGTAAACTATTAAACTTTACGTGCTTTTATTTGGAAAAAAATGGCTTAGTCGCAACGCGACACAAAGCCGTGTCTGAGATTTAAATTTTGTAAACAAACTATTTATAGCGAAAATAAATTTATTTGAAGTGAATTTTTATAAAGTTGTGTGGATTATTGTTTGTAAACACCTGGAAATTTATACTAAAACAATTAGTCGCCTCAGGCTCGGTGATTACAAGCCTATATTCACTTCGCCTTCGGCTCAGTGAATATAGGCTTGTAATCACCTCGCCTTCGGCGACTAATTGTTAAATAGTATTACACAATTTGTAATGTCTTTTTTAATTAGAGGGTATTGGCAATAAAAATTTTTATTGCTTTATCTGAAAGAGCATGAAAAAAATAAGCCGATTGGCCGTTTAATGCTCTATTCTATCTCATCTAGTTCCGAAGTTATACACAAAAATGTGCAAAATATAAGTTGCTGATTCAGCACAACGTGTGACGTCATTAGTTGGGTAAGTATGTTTAATGAATACTAAACTGAAGCATAGCTCAGTTATTATGGGCCCAAATGAAATGAAATTTGCATTCTGATTGTACATGATGAGACGCATTGAAAAACACTTCTAATTTTGTTGCCAAGATAACAATGTCGCTCCCAGGCCCCTTGCGCCAATTTTATAAAACAGCTTTATTCATGGTACTGATAAGGATAAAATAATATCAGAAGTATGTGTACCATACCTAATACCTATGCATGCCAAAAGTTTACTTGCATGATAATAATTCGAAAATGACATACACATTAGATAAATGCAACTAGTTATTCAAAATCAGTGTAAGGGGCCTGGGAACGACTGTGTTGCCTTAATTAGAAGTATTTTCCCATGCGTTTCATCATGTGTTCTATCTGTGTGCAAAATTTCATTTGATTTGAGCCAATAATAACTTAGCTATGCTTCAGTTTACTATTCAACAAACACACTTACCCAACTAATGACGTCACACGTTGTGCTCAATCAGCAATTTATATTTTACACATTTTTGTGTATAACTTCGGAACCAGCTAGATGAGATAGAATAGAGCATTAAATGGCCAATCGGCTTATTTTTTCATGCTCTTTCAGATAAAGTAATAATTGCCAATACCCTTTAAATAGCATTTGTCAATTCTGAACACTGATTGGCTAAGAGCATAACTCAATGTCAACACGAAAAAATTCTTTCTTTATATTTCTTTGAGCTATACTATAAAAAAATATAAGACATTTTTCCGTATTGATATACAATTATATCAACACTTGTGAAAATTGGGAGAACGAGAAATTGTGTGGAAACACTATGCCCAATTTCCACTTGTGTTGATCAACATGGAAAATGTTTTATATTTGTTAAATATCATATCATTTTTCTAAATGATTATTTGTACGTGATCTTCTGATTTACTGACACACTGAAATGTGGCTTCATAGAAAACAAATTGGGGGGGATGGCTAACAAAAATTTGAATGACCTTGATTGAAATTTCCCTATTAGAAAAAACTTACCATCATAAAAAACTTACCATCAGTTGGCCTTGCCAACAGTGCAAAATTTGAGGGAAAAATTGAGTTAACCCATTGAGTCTCATTGCACCCTGATGCACCCTATTTTATTATTTTAGATTTTTACTCAGCCAGACGATTTCACTCGTCAAGGGGAGGGCGCTAGTGCTTAATTTTAATGGGTTAACTGGCCTATCTGCTCATGTATCTAGTTAAATTAACCCATTGAGTTGCATTGCGCCCTACTTTATTATTTTACTCTGTCTAACTCCGGATGAATTTACTTGTCAAGGGGACGGCCCGGAGAGGCTATAAAAGTCAACATTAATCATATGCAGCCCAAAAATGTGTGTTGAAATTTTTACCCTCGTGCATGGCGCTCAGGCATGCATCGAGTCTACTCAGTTTATTATTATGACAAGGTCGGCAAGACTTCTAACACAAATTTATTACAACGTTTACTAGAGTGTGAATATTTCGCAAATTACAAACAATATAAAATATACATCATTTCAAACACTGGTAATTTTACTACATTCATTCTAAGGATGTAAAAAGCGAATTATTTTCGGGGGTTTTGCAAAATTTTGTCAAAACTATGCTGGGGTCACGTACCCTGTGATGTTGTCATATTTTTTAAATCTTGAAGAAGCGCTGATTGGCTGTTGTACATCATTCCAGTGCAACAGCCAATCAGCACTTCTTCAAGATTTAAAAAATATGACAACATCACAGGGTACGTGACCCCAGCATAGTTTTGACAAAATTTTGCGAAAACCCCGAAAATAATGTGGTTAAACGTAGATTTAAGCGAAGTTAACGGCAGATGTATCTAGCAGCGGGGAGCCCCTGACGTCACTTAGAACAGTTGCAATTATCGCGCATCCGTCACTTTGCTACAGCTTGGCTAGCCAGCTACAACTGCTCTTTCGCTCTGTTATAAATCTTTGCTATTGCGTGTTATTATTACTTGTTACTTTACTCAACATGCCTCGGCTGACTAGAAATAGTATGGAAACGTCAACGAGCAACGATATTGCTAGCACTAGCTCCGCTCGTCCGCCGTCGAGTACGAGTTCGCCAGTAACCAGTTCGCACGTGTCAGCGATGCAAACGAGCAATGCGGGTTCTTTACCAGTGGTTCAAGCGCTTCAAGGTAGCTTGGAAGGCCTTGTTCAGTCCGCCACTGATGCTCGTTTGTCTGTCTCGTCAACCGCAGCAGTCGCAAACAACGCTGGGCAGTCCTCGTCTCGTCCAGCAAATAACCTCGCTGAGAATGCTCCCCCAAACAATTTGGAATCGCAGACCGCAAATTACGAAACCGTTCATCCAGCTGATGGTATGGTTAGTGGTGTTAATGCTCATTTATCTGACGCCAGAGGTAGGCTCGTTCCTTCTTTTATTAATACGTTTGCCACGCCATCTACTTCATTGGTTTGGTCGGGTAACAGTTCCAGTTCTCCCTCCCTTGCGCTAGCCACGGGTAGTGTGCCGTATTATTGCAACCCTAACGCTAGTAGTGGGATCTCGTTACCACAATCGAGTGGTTTCTCGTCATTTATTGTTGGCCCAGGTTATGCCCCAATACCTGCAAAAACTGTCGGTGCTATTACTGCAGGGGAGTATATAAATCTGGCTGATCTTCTCCCGGAGAATTCCTACGCCGTCGACGAGTCCAACGAGCCCCATCTGCTTTTAGATGGTCGCCTAGTTTTAACAGGCATGATAAAAAAACCGCGGAAAGAGATTGTTGATATTGTTTCGTGGGTGGAGGTGTTTTCTATATATACCTTGATAGTTTGTACTTCAACCCCTCACCGTTGGCGCGACTTAACGACCTACAAGTTGTTGATTTTACGCACGTATCGCCAGTTCCAGAGTACTGCATGGTTAACGTACGACAAGGCCTTTAGACAACACGCAGCCGCTCTAAACCTTACGGACTGGTCGGAACTGAACGTCCAGTTGTTCAATTTTTATACCGCTGGTTCTGCTGCGAAATCTTCTCATTCGATTCCGCAACCGCGGGTCGATCGTGTGACCGAAGAGCAAGGCAATTCAGCTGCGTTTGTAGTCTGTGCATCGTGGAATCGAGGACGGTGTGTAGCCCCCACTGCATTGTGTCGCTTTCGCCATGCATGTTCGAACTGTTCGGCGGATCACCGAGGCATAAACTGTCCAACTTCTGGTAAAGCCCCTAGTTACCCGATCCCACCTAAAAGCCGTCGTTTCTAGAATACTCTAGTACTCATCAAGCGCTCTGGCGGTGTGTTATGGGTATCATGTACTGTTTTAATTTCTATAACTTGGATTTGTTAACATGCTTATTTGGTTGTGAATCTCAGTTACTAGGTTTTTATAATGATGACGTTTTTTATATATTTAGGGTCTGGTTTTACAATAAATGTGTTTGGCACAAGGGTTCCGTTAAGTTTACCACTTACATTTAATGGCGCTGGCGGTGTTATTTGTCACAAAGCTCACAGCTGGAGTCTTCTTACTGCTCAGTACACTAGCGTCCATTTGCCTTGCCATGCTAAGTTGCTTTGGCCTTGCTTTGCTGTGCTTCGGAAGTTCGCTTAGGAGCTGGGCATTATGAGCTAGGTGCCTGGCTAGTGACGCGTTAACTTACGTACTCCTCGTTTTTACCGTCGTGTATTATTTTTTAGCCTACAGGTTGGTGGAAGTGCTATTCGGGTTGTCTTTTCATGTCGCGCAGTCGCGAAATAGATTAGTCATTAATTTTACCCAATCCCTAACCCTGACATCCTATTAAACCGCATATATTTCGCGACTGCGTGGCGTGGAAATGTAGCCCTAATTCGTCACCTCCTTACGAGCCGGCCAATTGCGTGTTCAGCGGCGACCGTACTGCATAAATATCGGGTATCGCAATGCTTGACAGTATTTAACCCTAACCTTAGCCGCTTAGAATGGGTATTTTCGGGATGTCACATTCTACTGGTTCTTAAGCCTGTCGCGTTGCGTTACACAGGGACCTATTTATTTCGTGCTCGTGCTCTAGCTCAAGCATATTTAGAATATAATAGTTTTTAGCGCTTTACAATGAATAAATTATTAGTATTATATGGCTATTGGCGGATTGTAACCCAATCGGTCTTTCGCACAGTGGTATTCGGCTAGCATTGCGCTAGTATACTAGTAGACCCCCTTTGCTCTGGCTAACTCTATTCTAATGCCTGTGGTAGTGTAGCCTTTACACCGTTAGCGATAGCCTAGCCGTACATAGTTACTCATCTGATACATCCTTAATACGCGCCTCTATTGATTTCTAGGCACTCTCCCTCCCGTTTCTGTGGTTTCTCCTCTTAATTTGCATGAATTTGCCTGCGAACTCCAGTCCCATCAGGATCGTTCCAAAGTGGATTATGTTCTCAGTGGGATTGCCCACGGCTTTGATATTGGTTTTTTCCCCCAGTTCCCTGTAACCTCTGCACGAAAAAATAAAGCTTCAGCAACTGCCCATCCTGAGATCGTGGACGCGTACCTGCAGAACGAAGTCGCTTTGGGACGGGTAGCCGGTCCTTTCCTTAGCAGCCCGCTACCTAATTTGCACGTTAGCAGTTTTGGCGTGATCCCCAAGGCTGGTCAACCAGGAAAGTGGCGTTTGATTTTGGATTTGTCGTCGCCACATGGGCGTAGTGTTAATGATGGTATTGACCCCGAACAATTCTCTCTGCAGTATATAAAATTCGACGAAGTCGTTGCCATGGTCACCAAATTAGGTCGGGTGCACTCATGGCTAAGTTTGACGTCCAAAGCGCATATCGTAACGTCGCTGTACTGCCGTCTCAACGTCATCTGCTTGGCATGAAGTGGCGGGGAAAGTTATACGTAGATCTTGCTCTTCCGTTCGATTTACGTTCAGCGCCATTCATTTTCAATTCCATTGCGGATGCGATAGAATGGATTTTGCATAATAACTACGCCATCGCCGACCTTATGCACTACCTCCTCCGTTTGTAACCGTTTGGGCGTCCCTTTACATCCCGATAAAACGGACGGTCCCACGACCTGTTTAATTGTCTTGGGAATCGAATTAGATTCCATTCTCCAAATTGCGCGTCTACCCAAGGTTAAGTTAGAAGCTCTCAAGCAGCTCCTGAAAGAATGGCAACAGACACGATGGTGCACACGTACGCAGCTAGAGTCACTGCTGGGGAAACTGCACCATGCATGCCATGTGGTTTGGCCTGGTCGTACCTTTTTGCGCCGAATGATTAATCTTCTTTGCGTTTTTCGCCACCCGCTCCACCCCATCCGTCTTAACGTGGAGTTTCGATTAGATTTGCAGTGGTGGGTCCAGTTCATTGAGGAGTGGAATGGTACAAACTTTTTCCTATTACCTGGACTCCTGCCATTAGCCGATCTGGTGATTACATCGGATGCCGCGGGTTCCATTGGATATGGCGCCGTATACCATCAACAGTGGTTCAGTCATGTGTGGTCACCAGCACAAATGCCGCTGTCTATCGCATACAGGGAATTTTTTCCTGTTGTAATCGCTGCTCACTTGTGGGGTATCCAATGGGCCAATCGACGCGTGTGCTTTCAGTTAGATAATACTTCTGTAGTCCATATTTTGAACTCGCGCACTTCCCGTGACACTCACATAATGGCCTTGCTGCATTCTCTGCTAGGGGTGGCGGCCCGTTATAATTTTACGTTTGCGGCGCGTCATATCCCAGGCATAGCTAATCCCATCGCTGATGCACTCTCTCGTTTCAATTGGCAGGTGTTTCGTCAGCTAGCCCCCAATTGCTCATCGCTACCAACGCCTCTTCCAGCAATCCTCGCCACGGACCTAGAAACCCAATGCCATAGTTTTCTTCGTCACGGTTTAGCGTCGTCAACCCATAAAACCCACGCTTCTGCCCAATGGTCATTTCTGCAATTTTGTGAATCCGAAAATCGCTTGAACTCGAATGGGTCGCCTCTCCCGTAGGGTGAATGGACCCTTTGCCTTTTCGCTACGTGGTTGGCGAATAACTTGAAACCTGCGTCCATAAAAGTTTACCTGTCAGCCGTCCGAGCACTCCATATCGAACATGGTTATCCTGATCCCTTAGTTGGCTGTCTGCGTTTACAGCGTGTGGTAAAGGGCATCAAACGTTGCAAAGGTGGCTCTCAAGATAAGCGTTTTCCAATTACACCGGACATTCTTAACGCGATCTATCGCTGCTTGAACTTCGCGGTCTACGATGACGTTTTGTTCTGGGCCTCTTGTTGTCTGGCATATTTTGGTTTCTTGCGATCATCCGAGTTTACTGTACCTCATGGCACTTCCTATTCTCCATCGCTTCACTTATCCCATCATGATGTTGCCTTTGACCGAAGAGTCGATCCGTCTTGTCTTCAAGTGATTATCAAAGTATCTAAAACCGATCCCTTTCGGCAAGGCTGCACTCTGACTATGGGTCAGGGTCACAATGTGTCCGGTCGAATCGCTACTCAGCTACTTGGAGATCCGTGGAGGTGCCGACGGCCCTCTGTTCGTCCGTTCCAATGGCGCCCCCTTGACACGTACAGTTTTTACAGAGCGTCGACTGCTGAGCCAGGCTGGTATAACTGGTCATTTTGACAGTCAGAGTTTCCGGATTGGCGCGGCTACTACAGCAGGCCTGGCAGGCGTCCCCGAGCATATGATCCAGACCTTAGGACGATGGAGCAGTTCAGCTTACCTGGCATACATACGAACGCCGCGTAATTTATTAGCTAGTGTAACTAGGGTGTTATGTTAAAATGAATATAAATATTATGCTAGTCTGACTTGTGTTGGTTTGTTCTTAGCCCAACCTTCGCTTAATCCCCTTCCCCCATGGTAGGTGCTGGTGATACGTTGCGGTCAGTCCATGGAGTCAAGTGTCCATGGCAATCTGTCAAGGCACTACCTCTTCAAGTGCATAAGGGTGGTTATGTACTTGACGGGACTGACCGTTTCTGGAGGTCTGCCTTGGCAGAATTGTCATGGCAAACTCATATTGCTACTATAATTAGCCTTATTATTACGTTTTTTTGCTGTTTTGCCATAGCTGTTTGCCATTGCTGTTTGCCAGTTTTGCCATTTGCCACAAATGTTTGCCAGTGTTTTGCCTAATGTTTGCCATTGCGGTCATTTGCCCGACAAGGCTAGATAGCCGACTAGCCTTGGCCACCAACGGCACCACCTCCAAACTCGGATACTCTGCCGTTAAATGTGGTGAAACGTAGATTTAAGCGAAGTTAACGGCAGATGTATCTAGCAGCGGGGAGCTCCTGACGTCACTTAGAACAGTTGTAATTATCGCGCATCCGTCACTTTGCTACAGCTTGGCTAGCCAGCTACAACTGCTCTTTCGCTCTGTTCCCCTTCGCCCTTTCCCCACCCTGGTTAATGTTTGTTGATACTCGGGTTAATTTCTTTATTTTTGTTTTAGTTTTGTTTTTTGTTGTTTTGTTTTGGTTGTTTTGGGGGTTTTTTTATTTGTTTTTCTTTATAGGATACAATCTATAGACTACTATAGAATGCGTCCTTTTTTCCACTGATCATCAGTGTGACAGGTGCCAGAGGTCTGCCTTGGCAGAATTGTCATGGCAAACTCCTATTGCTACTATAATTAGCCTTATTATTACGTTTTTTGCTGTTTTGCCATAGCTGTTTGCCAGTTTTGCCATTTGCCAGTTTGCCATAAATGTTTGCCAGTGTTTTGCCTAATGTTTGCCATTGCGGTCATTTGCCAGACAAGGCTAGATCGCCGACTAGCCTTGGCCACCAACGGTACCTCCAAACTCGGATACTCTGCCGTTAAATTCGCTTAAATTTTAACATCCTTAGAATTTTACGAAATATTCATACTCTAGTAAACATTGTAGAGGTGTGCAAATCCAATCCGAATCCAATTCGTTTGGATTTCGGAACCAAAATATTCATTTCGGATCGGATTGATACAGTTGTTTCGTAGTCGGATCGGACTTCGATATCCGAAATAAAATGAATTAATTATCCATGCATTATCGCAAGAATTAATTATCCATGCATTTATCAAAGCATTATCGCGGTTGTCGCTGCATTATTCGTTTGATACTTCAATTGGACGTCACTTTGTCAGTTTCTTGACATGTATTTCTTGCTTTTATATTTATTTGGTTAAATATTTCAACTCAGTGGAATGAGAAATTTATTTTATTAAAGAATTCTTCGGATCGGATTGGAATCCTTTATCAAAACTCGGATCGGATTCGGATTAGACAATTTCGGATCGGGTTGGATCGAATTTTAAGCATTAGGCAATTGTCGGATTATAAACGTCCAATCCGATCCGATGCACACCTCTAAAACATTGTAATAAATTTCCGTTAAAAGTCTTGCCAACCTTGTCATAATATTTGCTGTGTTGGTGTAATGTACTCAGGTGAATAAGATGCTTATGTGATGTTACTCTGAGTGTATATCCACACCGGGCAGGCTTGAAAAATATGCCTGGCCACGGTGGGAATCGAACCTATGACCTTTGGAATACCAGCCCAATGCTCTGCCAACTGAACTACGCGGTCAGGTCGGTTTGAGTATGCGATACTTCGGAAACTCAGTCTAGTTCCTTCGATATCAGTGTAATCTAATAATCATTATATTTGCTGTATTGGTGTAATGTACTCAGGTGAATAACATGCTTGTGTGATGTTACTGAGTGATGTTGCTGAGTGTATATCCACACCGGGCAGGCTTGAAAATTGAGCATTGGGCTGGTATTCCAAAGGTCGTAGGTTCGATTCCCACTGTGGCCAGGCATATTTTTCAAGCCTGCCCAGTGTGGATATACACTAACATCACACAAGCATCTCATTCACATGAGTACATTACACCAACACAGCAAATATCATGATTATTAGACTACACTGATATCAAAGGAACTAGACTGAGTTCCGAAGTATTGCAATTACTCGAACTGACCTGACCGCGTAGCTCAGTTGGCAGAGCATTGGGCTGGTATTCCAAAGGTCGTAGGTTCGATTCCCACTATGGCCAGGCATATTTTTCAACCCTGCCTGGTGTGGATATATACACTCAGAGTAACATCACACAAGCATCTTGTCATAATAATAAACTGAGTAGACTCGCATGCATGCCCGAGTGCCATGCACGAGGGTAAACATTTCAACAGTCACACATTTTTGTGCTGCCTATGCATTAATATAATCTGTCAGACAGATTATGGGTAATTCGAATCCATGGTAGTGATGACATTTTTTGCTTAAATTTGAGGTCATATGGCATGTATGGTACCTTATAGTTACACAACTTGCAAGGTACATGCATCACATCAGTTTAGTTATATCAGTTATTTTTAAGCATATTATCGCTGTTAGGTTATGTGTATATTTTACTTTCGTAGAGTACAGCTTTATATTATATTTCATATAATTTGTTGTTGATTCAAATGTAATGTAAGATGATATACATGGGTTGTCCCCAGGGTTCGAGATTGGCTGTATCCTAGTATCCTTGATGATACCAGTTTTGAATTTTGGATACCAGATGTTAAAACCTTGATATCCTAACTGGATACCAGGAAATTCTTGCCTAAATATCAATTGTTGAACATTTCTTATAAACTTTATGAAAGGAATCACAAATATATACATAATTTTACAGATAATGTTTGAAACACTCATAAACTTTGAGGCTTGAGCAGCAAACTCTAATTAATATATATTTTACTTTGCTTCAAATTTCAAACTTTGCTTCAAACTTTGTTTACCAAAACCTCGTTCTAATAACATGAAAAATAGTTTCATGTACAATGGAGCTAAACTTTGGAATTCTATTCCAAAAGAAATTAGGGAAAGCAAATCACTTTCTTCCTTTCAAAATAAAATCACTGCTCACATTTATGAATAAGTATTGTAAATAATGTGCCTGTAAATAATCTGACAACTTTCTCATTAGACATTAATATGTTACTATTTTAATACTCATTAATATGTTATTCTATATCTCTTAAAACTTTTGTAAATAGCTCTAACTATCACTTTCCTGTACATGTAAAAATCTTATTCAATTTTTTGGCACACGCCCCTCGTGGAAATCAGCTTCGGTTGACGGGGTCAGCGTGTATAAATAAAAGTTCTATCTATCTTCCGTTAGCTAGTTACCAAGAGCCTGAAACACCCGCTAGTTATTACAGCAAAATAGTTTGGTGAAGAACAGGAAATTTATAATAATATGTTCATATATATATGGTCAAGGTTAGGGATATATTTAGAAATAATGCATATCTATTGTATTTTGTAACTTTAATACTTTATCAATGTTCTCTGTACTCTGTAGTGAACTAAAAGTAGAGAATACCTAATGGCTTGTGTGTGCATATGTTTCCAAGTTTTCAACATTCGATATCATGATTCTACCTTATTCTTATATTTGGATACCGATTTTTGAATTTGGATATCAAGTTTGAAATGCTGGTATCCATAATGGATACTAGTAAAAAATTCCAATCTCGAACCCTGGTTGTCCCAGGTTTTAGTGTTCATGTTTCAGAAGCTATTAGAAACAATTAAGATGCCAGTGTGGAAAGTTTGTATTGCGCATCGGAGATATCAGCCGTGCAATTGTAATGCTTTATATATATTTACTATTAAATTATTGAAATCTCTGCATGCAATTTCCAAACTTTACAGTCAGGTTAAGATGTACTTTATATGTAACATCAGTCACGTAACATGAGTCACATGTGTTATGTAGCAATACTTTAATACTATAATTGTAATCCAAAATATAAAATTTCTCTGTGTTAGTAGTTTACCTAACATATAATCTGTTACTAGATAGACATATTTGTATGTTTCTCCTTTCTACGGTTCCTGAATAAATTCAAAAGTAGTTAGGTTGGTGTTACCTGATGTCACTTCGTCGTAACACAAGTCAAACACCAATTTACAGCCACCAATATCATCATGTTATGATCAAATGTTTAATTTTTACTGTGAATCAGTAGCTTACCATTAATATTTGTGCCTGCATGCAAAAATGTGATCAAAATTACTCTACTAGTTTTGTTCAGAATGTCACATGAGTCACCATGGAATTATGTCTTGATCATGGGTCTTGATCATTATTCAGGTAAATATCAAGATTTTTGCCCAACTCGTTCGATAGGAGATAGCTAATAGCAGAGGACTAGCAGATAACTTTTCAAAAAATGGAATTTTCGAACGTATTTATACAATAAATCGAGATATTCAACCTGCCGCCCTGGAAAATCTGTAACAATGTATTAAAATATGCTGCAACACATTTTTATTAACAAAGCAGTATGCTACAGGGATTAAAGTATGAAATACACATAATCGCATACGGCGCAAATATCTCACAACAAATACTGAAATACAGAGCGCCAATAAATAGGAACTTTCGAAATCAATACCCAGAAACAGCTGCTACACAGCAGCAAATAACGATATTTCGCGATTTATATAGCTTAAATTTACGTAAAGATTTAAGGTTTCTTATTAAATACGGCAAAACAGCATCTAACCACCAACAGCAGTTTAATATATTTGCTGAAATTTTAGCTCAAAAATACCCAACGCCATCAGGAAAAGACAGGCATCAGTCTCGCGTTTCAACACACGAAACATATACAAATACTTTCGACCCAAACCCATGCAGAATTGAGAAAATTGTATTCCCGATTACTACAAGAAGGTATAAAATAGAATATTACACACAGACTGTACTCACTTTACAAGTATTTTCCTTTGTTTTTGAGGAAGAAAGATTACATCTTTACCCAATATTAAAATTGTTCCATGACGATCAACAAATGTTTTTGTGCTCAGTGACGTCACAGACACTTGTAAAAATCGGAACATGATCGGTTGCACGATTGGGAAACGACCACTGACCTGTCTAATTCACCTGAACTAAACAAAAATTTTAAACATTTTAAAAAAGCTAATATTTGTACAAATGGCAGGATGTTCTAATGCTGGCTACCGTGTCATAAGCCGAGCCAATGCTTTGTTACTGCCAAGCAGCTATCGACATGCAGCGCATGTAATGTTACACAGCCCATGTAGAGATGATAGAAAGCTATTTGGCTACTATTCTCCTCGTCATGCTGTCACAGTAAGTATGCCCGGCATTTGCAATGGATGAAATCGATTATCAATAAAATCAATATCAATTTATCACAATTGAATTCAGTGGAGGAGACCTTATCGGTTGTTATTGACTGATGATATCAATCAATAGACTATTTATATTCCATATATTAAAAGGGAAAGTACATTTATTATGTTGAGGCGGGGGTATCTGGGGATGAAGATGTTAAGGGGGGGGGACCCAAAATATTTTCTGGCATTAAAAGGGGGGGGCTCTGAAAGTTCTTGATATACAGAGGGTGGGGGGGGGGTATAAACTTTTCAAAGTTTTCACTTTTTTTTCACTTTTTGGTCCAGCAGGGACCTGGCGAGTCACTCCCACCAACATCAACACTTTCATAATATATTTTTTGTTCAATGTATAGACTGTGCACAGTAAGGCTTTTTAATGTGTTAACATCAACAAACGACGTTTCGGAAATTTACTCCATCTTCAGGTAGATAAGATTACAATTCATACTTTCATAATGCTTTGGCAGAATACAGTAGCTTTCACTTTCTAATTTTAATATAATTATACATAATACCAACAGAACAGAACAATGTCAATGAACAAAACTGAAGGTGAATAACCACTTGTCGACATTGCATTGCAACTATTTTGCCTATTGGAGGTGCTATCGCATGGGGGAGCAGGGAGCTCCACATTCCACATGCATGGAATACATAAAAGAAGGTGCTCCAATTATGCCTGTCAATATTCTTCAACTTCTTTAATTTTCATCCTGTTTCTACCAAATTTTCCATCAATATAGAACATATATCATTCTTACAAATCGTATGTTTTTTGTTTTTGGATCAATTGCTACTTTTTGGCAGGTAAATTACGTCACAAACTTGGCACCAAAAAATTAAAAATAAGCTATTGGTGATTTTATAAATCCATATAATTTAAAAGAACAGACTAAGGCTGTACTTTAAAACTGAAATCTGTTTCTAAATATGACCATTTTATGGGAAGATAATCCGCGATACAAATGTAGAAAAATCTGCCATATTGTTACTAAAAATGGGACAAAATGACAGATTTATAGAAATTTAAGTCATATCTTCACAAGGAATGGTTGTATTTAAAAACCAATTTCCGTTTTCAGATTCCCTTAGTCTGCTCTTCGAAATGGATGCACGAAATCACCTATAGCTTATTTTTATTTTTTTGGCACCATGCAAGTTTGTGACGTAATTTACTCGCCAAAAGTTCCAAAAACAAAAGACATGCGATTTGTAAGAATGATATGTTCTATGTTCATGGGAAATATAGTAGAAACGGGTTGAAAATTAAAGAAGTTGAAGCATACTCACTGATTACTCACTGGCCCTTTTGCATGCATTTTTGACAGGCATGCAAAGAAATTTGCAAAAGATGCCAGGAGATATGTTGGGTGGGGGTGAGGTTCTCTAGGGTTCCAGCACATTACCCTGATCCAGGAAATATATCTAGCTACCACATGAACATGTTCAAGACTCTGACTATGCTGAATGATGGACAACAACAACCTGTTGATGATTTCGTCCCTAGAGCCAATCTAAAACGGCTTTCTAAAGATGGTGCCATTTCATAATCAATATGTTGTGATTGACAGATAATCAGTATCAGCATCGGGTCGATTTTTGCCTTTAATTATCAGTGGAGAATTGGAATCGATAGAATTATCTATATTTCCGATTGTCTATAAAATCGATTGTTGAGAAAATATATGCACTTTAAAAATTATATGCATTGCACATTGATACATATTGCATTTTAAAATAATATGTTAATTAATTTATGCATGAAACATGCCATTTATTAACAGTTTTAACAATCTTTGGTTGCAGTAACATGTCACGTTGGAAACTATCATTAAAAAATCGACATGAATAACTTTTACTCGGTAGACTGATATTCTGACATCACTATGAAATCAGTATCGCCATCAGTATCGGGTAGATTGTGGCATGAATAATTGGTAATTTCCTATTGTTGCACAATCGGTCAGTCACTATCAATATAATGAGCTAACAATGTTCAATCGATTAGTATCAGTTGGTATTTGTGAAATGTAAAATCCTTTAGTTGGTAAACTAATGGAAATTGCATGTATATACACACAATTAGATCAGATGTGTAGAGTCATGATCATGATCAGCTGCAGAAATCCCAGTGAGGGGGGAGACTGCCTACCCCCCCCCCCCACAGTTGATGAATTTTTGGAAATTTTGACCTAACAGTCTTTTCGAGTGCAAATGGGAGGGGGGGTTGTTGTTGAAAATTTGTTGTTGAAGGTTTTGTCAGAAATTTAGCCAGAGGCTTTGCCCTCACCGGAAAAAGTGAATTTCCGACAGTGATTATGATCTCCATGAATCTATGGATTCTTGCCATTGACTCGATCTTCCAAAAGGTGCCGGTGAGTTTCTCTGGTATCAAGTCTTTCATATACTCTAGTCATTTCGTACTCAACTGCCTGGTCGTTTCGTACCCTAACTCTGGTTGTTTTGTACCCCAACTCTGGTTGGTAGGTCTATGATAACTGAATTGTCATGATTCAAAAGAATAACTGGTAACGTACAAATTAAAACCGGCTATTTATAATCAATAGACAATTCCAGCTATCGACTAATTTTTTATGTAGACAAGAAAAACGAAATCTATCATTATAGCTCAAAAGAGCATTCTAAAATGAGTAAAAATGCAAAGTTTGGTTGCGAAATGTTGTAAAATGCGGAAAATATAGCCCTGTGAAATTAGCAAATTTTGAGTATTTTAGTATTACGCGGGGTAAAAATAACCATTTTCGGCTCAAAAATGGCCCACACAGACCGGACGCGATTCGGCAACTCGACGCGAATTTTCAGTTTTCAAAAACAAATAAAACCGTCAACGGATAAAAATTTTACATGATATGTAGACCAAATAGCTAAAATTGCTTAAGTGGTTCCGAATATTTGAAAAACATTGAAAAATATTAAAGTTAAATGTCATTGAATTTAAATTGTTTTCCTAGTGGGCAAAACATGAATTGGAGGAAGGGAACAAACTAAAATATTTTTGTGAAATTTGAAAAGTGACAATTAAACCTAAAATTTGGGGAAATTTAGGGAGACATTGCGGAAAAACGAAACGAGAAACGATACGGGTACAAAAACGATAGGGAAAAATGTCTGAAAATCGTTTAGTTTAATTAGATACCAGTCCTTCAACTCCTACGAATTGAACACATTGGGTTTGCACTTTTAAAAAGTGGTTTGTTAATTAAGACCTTTTACATTTTTCTCCAAGTACCTCCACAATGACAATGCAGGAAATTATACAGTCTATACAGAAATCTAAAATTCGATTTTTCCCAGGGGAGCACGCGCGCACCTGAACTCCCTTATAATTGTGACGTCAAGAATGAGTCCCCCTCCCCAACACAAATAAAATCCTGGCATTGCTACCAGACATCAATGTCCATTTTGTTCGACCTAATCAACGACTTCTGGACCAATGTTGTCTCCCAGTTAAGCAATTTATACAACAAACCAGTATGACATGTGACTCAGAAGTGTACTTTTGACAACAGTTGATACAACCTTGGCCCCATTTATACAATACCTGATTACTAGCGAGCTCTCATGCCAGATTACCTTCCATATTTACCAGTAAATGTGTTTTCATTACATAATTCTTTGTTTGCAATGACGTAATTTGGGGATTTCAGTTGACGGGCAGGTATAACAAAAAACGGCTATTTTAATGTATTGATCGAGTTTAGAGGCAATTTAAGACTCAAAACTTTTAAGGTGAATTACCGTTCAGTTTTTCTTGCTACAACCATTCTGATAGGAGAAAAATCGTCCACAAGTTGTTTGATTGCCCGTCATTTGGATGAAAAGTTACGTGATTGCAAACAAAGAATACTATCATGATGCAATTTGGTATGTCTGTGAGACACAGATCAGTCCACTTATGCAGACTCCAGTACTTTCAGATTTAAACTGATAGCGGCCTATTCCAATCACCATAGATGTAACTGAATCTGATATGTTTGGCTTACTGGTGACTTTTCAATACATTGTCAAGCTTAATGTAGCTAATTTTTCTCTTGTTCGTAAAACGTTGTGGAGAGTTTCCAATTTTTTTCCGTTAGAATGCGATCTTGGCAAGATCTTGCAAGACCTGACATGCCTTGAAAGATCATGATGACAATCTGATCTAGCCAAGACACTGATCTTGGCAAGGTCGTGGCAAGTTTTCAGAATTAAAATTCTTTACTTGAATTTTAATCTTAAAGTAAAATCCAATTAGGCTCATTGGTAGTAATGTATTTGTGTGTATTTACGCAAAATATTTCCATAATGATATGAGCTTGCCAAGATCCAAGCATGATCTTGCCAAGCTGGATTCTACATGCATCATATTATTTCCATGATCTTGGTAGATCTTGTCAAAATCCTATCATGATCTTGCCAAAAATCCTGTTACAATCTTGGCAAGATCCTATAAACTTGGAAATTCTTGCCAAGATCCCATCATGATTTATTAATTTATTTCAAATTTATATTTCTAAATTAAAGCTCCAACTACGATTTGATGGAACTGTTGGTTTTCCAGGTGGCTTTATTGAAGACGGGGAATCCATAGAAAATGGCTTAAAGCGAGAATTATCAGAAGAATTAGGTGCGACTGCTGGAGGCATCCATTTCACTGAAAGTGACCTAGTTGTTTCTCATGTATGTCCTAACAAACCATTATGTCTGCATTTTTACTGCAAGAAAGTCGAACTAGATGTACTACACACCATCGAGAAGGAAATTCATGATTCTCCCCAATATGGATTGGAGGCAAGTACATGTTTCATGTTTGTCATTGGCATAGCTCCTTGGGCCCCGTATGAAAAAGGCCCCTAGACCTGCTTTGGAGTTACATAATTTCCAGGTATATTTACTGGGGTATCATCATTCATTGTTGATTTCGATATAGATTCCCATTTATTTAGTTATTAGATTTCAAACACTTATAGTTCATTTACTCGACTATTTCGAGCTTAATACTACAATATCACATGATTGTTGGCTTTTCTAAATCCTCAGTGGCTTGTGACAAATTTCGTGGAATTGTACATCAGGAGTGAATATCGAACCGTTTCATGATGACGTCATATAGCTAAGTAAACATATCGCAATTTTGATTGTAAAAATGTTTCGTCAGGATTGAATAACGTTTGGCATCAGCAAACAGCATTTAGTTTTTACCCGTCTATTCTCTAACCTGGAGATAATAACAACAGAAGCGAAAGTTGTAATAAAAGTAACCAAGTCCTGCAGTCTCAAACAATTTCAAATCCTCGCTGGCTCCATTTTCTGGCTAAAAATTATCTAATACTTAAAAAACTTTAAATAATAAACACATAACTGAAGAGTTTAATACGGATCGTTGTATTAGTTCTGGTCAACTTCGTCCCTAGGGCTTTTGTTGAGGGAGGCGAAGGCAAACATGATCTGGTTAGTCAAATAATCAACTCAAATACTGTAACTTACCGGATAGAACGGTTAAAACAAACGAGGCTATACACGAGGTTTGAAATAGACAGTTTGAAATGCCACTAATCAACATGCATGTAAATAAGATAACTATAATAACTGCTTAAGTAATGATCCATATAGTATTGAATTGATCCATAAAGTAGTAGAAGCCAATCGGGTTGCAAGATTGCAAGTTACTCCTAATAGCCTTTGTCTATACTATTTATAAAAATGTATACATTCAGGTATTTCTGTCCCTAATCTTACACACCTGCATGCATGCACCTTCAGTGAAACCTCAACTTAATTTCAATAAGGTTGTAAAGTAAAAATACAATGCTCAGTGTTTATTTCTTTTCCTAGACTCTCGGTTTCATTCGCTGTCCACTTTACACGATGAGAAATAATTGCGGAGGTCTACCGTCGTTTCTAAGAAACAATTTCATTGGTAATGCGAGAGAGCAACTACTTCTAGGTTTGAAACATGAAGGACTCTTATCCGAAAAAGAAATAGATAAGGCGGTGTTACAATATAGAATGTTAGAAAATGAAGTGAATCCAGATCAGTGAGGTCAATTACAATGCTCATAACCATGCACAAAACACCTTACAACAATTGCGTTAACTTTATAAGTCGTTGATAAAGTTAAACCGTTAGAGCATACATGAAATCCATGCGGGGCAGTAAAGATCTTTATTATATGGCTTTTCAAAATTCTCTATTCTGATTGGTTGACAAGCGGTCCGTAAAAACCCATATCCGGACCGTGGTCCGTATTTTCCGTATCTGGACCGGTGTCCCGGATGTCGTTTATCTGGCAGAAAATTTTTGCCTTGCAAACAGAAAAAAATTTTGCTTTTTAATTTTCCAATTGTGTGTCATTAAAATTTACAGATAAAAATTTCAAACAACCAAATTGTTTTTGATTGAGCATGCATGCCTACCGTATATTGTTACCCAGTGAATCTGACGATAGCCGATTTAATTCGCGCGAAAAGCATATTGCTCACAAACTCAGTTCAGCCATATAATAAACCGATTATTGACCTCGCTTGTTCGGTCTATATACTGTGAAATATCAGACCTCTGTTTTTTGCATGGACCTCGCTCCTTCGTCGCTCGGTCCATACTAAAAAACCTCGGTCTGATATTTCACAGTACAGACCTCACGCTCGGTCAATAAGCCGTTAGTATTAGTCAAGAAAACAATAAATTCACAACACGTAATTTTCAGATAGATCCTGAAAATCATGACAAAACATGTTAAATAGCTCCAAATTTTAATACTGTATTCAACAAAAAGTTAAAAGCGTTTTTATTACACGTTTTTATTACATGTTTTTATTACACGATTTAACGCAGCGGCGACGCAGGTGAACCACGCTGTTCTTGATCAGGAGAGAGTACATGCGGTAGTGCTGTATCTAGTGCTCTCACTGGCATTCTGCATGGATGGTAGGGCAGCAGCAAGTTGTCTGGTGACTTCTCCAGCAATAATAGAGACTTTATATAAACTTCGCGTTATACGGCAGACGCCAGGCAAAAAAAAATACGGTATCAGGCAATAAAGAGTAAATGAACTTGCTGTTTTAAAACTGAAATAGATAATTATTCTTTCGACGCAAGAAAGAAAATATGAAACGAAAACGTTCAACGAAAATTTTGCCAAGAAAGTTCGAACCTGCCGTTTGCCGTTCCCGGAAACGTGAAGCTTAAACTCCCTAATGTTTCGACCACGTCAGGAACTCAGTGAGCGACCAATTGGCCGTCCATTTTAACATCGATGTCGCGGCTACTATATCGTTCAAACCCTCACACAAAGTTTTCATCTATAAGAATGCTGATTTCACAAAGCTTAATGAATTTATGTCACATGCATGCATCGGAAAACGTTTTCTATCTAGTCCTCAACATAACCTGTATCTGAAAACTGGTTCAAATTTAAGTCAACCTTGACAAAAGGTATTCAAGATTATGTCCCTCACAAGAAATCTACGCAAAAAGCTCTCAAATCCCACAAAACTAAACACTGGGATGAGTTCAAGAAAGAACGGAACTTAGTGTCTCGTCAAGCAATCTCACAGTAGTTATGTAAATTACGTTATATATTGGCGCAAGCATAGAATCCAATCCAAAGAAAATCTGGTCTATGTACAGATAAATCTGAGAGTTCCGGCATACCTCCATTAAAATTCGACGACAAATTATGTGTTTCTGATAAATCAAAAGCTGGCGCCCTTAACTCCCAGTTCCATTCAGTATTCACCCGTGAGAATGCTCCAATTCCAAGTCAATCTCCATACACGTCCATCTCAGATTTACCCTTCAGTTTTTTCAAAGGACCAAAAGTGCCCTTTTTTGTGATGAATAGTGCCCTTTTTGTACAAGCTAATGTCACTGTAAATACTAAATTAACATCAAAGGTGCCCTTTTTGTTTGGAAATTTCGATGTTTCGGCATAAAAAATTTGGTCAAAAACGTTCAATTTCGGTATGGTATGACGGGAAGAGCACACCCCCCCGCCAATATTTCCGGGAAGAATTTTTTAGGTGCCCTTCTCAATATCCAAAAGTGCCCCTGGAAGCCCTGCCCCCTCCCCAATCTTTTGATGCTTCCTACGCCCCTGTGCCGGCTGTGCGTCACACAGTGATTATGAAGTCTTAAATAACTATAAATATTATCTAGTTTTTCAATATATATTTCCTCCTAGTGTAGTATATTACTGTTTTGGGAGTGCGTAAACGTGTGTACAAAATAGTCGAAATTACTTGTATTCTGTGTAAACCCACTGTAAGCTCCAACACTCATTGACATGCACAGCGAAACCAAAATGGTATGAAGCTCACGAGTGAGCACAATTTGAGACCGATATTGTGGTAACGGTCGTAGAAAAAGATCGTTCAGATTACCAATTTGCCAGCGGCAACGATATAAATAGATCACAAACTCAAATGTAATCGTATAATAACCAAAACTTGTAATATCACGCGAAACTATAACGTGTAACGTGACTCATATGAAACGTGGTTCGACTAATTATAATTAAAAACACAAATTGACAGTTCCAATCCTATTTCCTTTAAATCCTTATCGATTAGAGAGTTTAATTGAGCAAGAGAACGAAGTCGGACGACGACGACGAGGGGTGAAGACAGATTAGAGATTCATGTCTAGCTGTTTATGAATGCGGACCCAAATCGTTACCCTGATCAGGACAAAACAGCGAGACATGAATCCATATCCCGTCTTACTTCTGCCTTCGTTCACAACGAATATTTTGGCAAAATTTCGTTGTGAACTTCGTTCCGAACGAAGGCAGAAGCCAGAAGGACAAAGACGGGATATAGTTTCATGTGTCGCTGTTTTTTTCTGGGTCAGGGCATGAATTAGGGTCAGCATTCATAAACAGCGACACATGGGAAGATACGCTGAGCAACCACCAGTGACGTCCAACTCAGTATGCGCAAGATAATGCGCAGACGGCAAAAATTGTCAAGTACGCCTTCGACTTCGTTGTCTTGCTCAAACTCTCTAATAACAAGACGGGCAGACATAAAACAACCTCGTACCCCGGTGGGTATGAGATTGCACATAAAATTCCTATTCGCAAGCACATATTTTATATTTTTTGCAATACATTCTTCAATTGAAGCGCTAAGATCCCCTTTATCACCAAATTAAACCTGCAAGACATTCTTTTCTTTTGACTTTGTTCTCAATAACAGTCATTGAGAAGGATTGAACAAAATGCCTCTGTTGTAAACAGAATTCGGAGCATAAAACCTTTTCGTAACAACAATAGCTTGATTTCTAAAGGTCTCGCGGAGGTTTTTTACACCCTGTATACAGTATTCATGATTACTCAGTCGCTTTGTTTCGCAAGATTTAGGAAAACAAAGCATATTCAATGGTGCCTACGCTAATGTTTTGTCGGGCCGCTAATGACCCAGCCTCCATGCGTAGGATAAGCGTCACTATATAAATGATTTCCTGATACGGCGTCACTTCATTTTGCTCAAGATGCCAAAACCTGACAAGATGTATACCATAGCCGGCATACTACCCTTGTAGAATCCGACATATTTATAACCTATTTTATACCTATTTTTTCTCTATTTAGCCCTATTTTTTCCGTGTTTTTTCAAAAATATGTCTATTTTATTACTATTTATCAAATTTCATAAAATAGTATATGACTATTTACTCCCTATTTAAAATATAGGTTATATATATTTTTCAAAAAAATAGCTTTGAAATAGATATTCAAATCCTATTTGAAAGAGTAATTGACGGAATCTCACTATAAAATAGCTTTTAAATAGCTATTTAATTCCTATTGATGACAAAAGAGTCAGTTAGAATAGTTTAAATAGCTATTTTTAAACTATTTTTGCATATCTTCTTTGGAGCCATTCTTAACATAGTTATTAAATAGCAAAATAAATAGGTCTTAAATAGCTATTTGATTCCTATTCATAGAAAATTGTGGCGAACTTTGTTCAAAATAGCTATAAAATAGCTATTTTTAAACTATGTTTGCTTTTATTTTTGGAGATATTATTGAGTATTGTTAAAATAGTTATTAAATAGGAAAATAAATAGATCTTAAATAGCTATTTAATTCCTATTCATAGAAAGTTGTGGCGAACTTTGTTCCAAATAGTTATTAAATAGCTATTTTTAAACTATGTTTCTTTTATTTTTTAATTTTTAGAGCCATTCTTAGAATAGTTATTAAATAGCAAAATAAGTAGATCTTAAATAGCTATTTAATTCCTATTCATAGACAGTTTGGTCAAAATGGCTATTAAATAGCTATTTTTACACTATGTTTACTTTTATTTTTAGAGCTATTGTTAAAATAGCTAATAAATAGCACAGTGCCTTTTTTAAGGAATTTTTACTAGGGGGAGGGGGAGGGGGGGCAAAACAGGAAAAAAGGCAGAACGAAAAATATGACCCATCGAAGTTTGGCGAACACGCCAGTCTGAAGAGAGATTTTGTAAAACTTGAATTTATTAACTTCTCCTATATAGACAATAACTTCAACCCTTTGTAGCTATAATCGTACAGCTATAACCAGTGGCGTAGCCAGACCTTAATTTTTTTTTTGGGGGGGGGGTTCGAACAGTCTAGGAGGGTCCGGGGGCATGCACCCCGGGGAAATTTTCAAATCTAGGGTCCTTGAATTCAAGCGATTTCAAGCATTTTGGGAGTGAAATTCCGAAGAGTTCCGAAGATTATAAAGTACATCGAAGACATGAATTTTTCCAGACATTTCTACTCGGAATTAAATAAATTGGAAAAGTACCTTGAGGAGACTAGGAGGAGGGGTCAGTGTCACCTTATTTCCTCTCTGTGATGCTGGGGGGGGATCCCTATGTGATTTTGATCAGAAATGTTGCATTTAAATCATTTTCGGTTCTATGAGACACCATTTCCGCATTCTCAAAATTGCGTTGCTTTTTCATACGATACAGAATAAATCTGAGAAGAAACATTCGTGCTATGATGATGAATACATGTATTTAACAGTAAAAAATCTAAACTAAATCTATTCTTCTTGGAACCAGCATTTTATCGGATTGTTTGCATGAAATCTATCGCTATTATGAAATACTCGGTGAAGAACAATATGAATTACACACAAGATAGCTGTGGAGGAGGCTATGGAAGGGCATAATCTCATTATCAACAGGGCCGCCCAGAGGGGGGGGGGGCAAAGGGGGAAAATTGCCCCAGGCCCCGAGTTGCAGGGGGCCCCTGAAAATTTTTTGTTGGGCCCCAGCCTTTTTTGTGTGTTAAATATTTCCGCGCAAAAGACAAGATATCTGTTTTCTTGGGCTAAGTATCGAATTTTGGCATAAAAAAATGAGATAAAGTCCCTCGAAAAATTTTTTACCCCTAAAATGGTACACTGACCGAAAATATTTTGGCGACGGGGGGGAGGGAGGTTGTTGTCCGGAAAAAATTAGGGACCCCTAAAAAAAAATTCGCCCCGGGCCCCCGCCAACCTCTGGGCGGCCCTGATTATCAAGTAAATCAACTGCAATTCTGACAGCAATCATGAGCAATTCTGTTTCGCACTTCGGGGGCAGAAATGGCTTTACTGGGGGGGGGGGAATTCTTTCCCTGGGGGGAAATCCCCCCCAGATATATAGTTAAAAAAGGCACTGAAATAGCAAAATAATTAGATCTTAAAAGCTATTTATTTCCTATTCAAATAGAAAGTTGTGAGAATTTAGAAAGGATAAATGTATTTATTTAACTGGTCAAAATTTCCCAGTTTGAGTTAGTTAATTTTAAATTTTTCATCAGTTCATTGAAATTATATTTACAAAAATATTTATAGTCTTTGTGGACTTTGTGGAGGTAGGTATTTTGTCTCCTGACAAAACGGCATTTTTGACAAAACACCATGCCAATGCCATGATACCACCAAAAATTCTTACGATGAGCGCAGTTTGACAGACTGGTGCCTAATTTTCTTACAACGCGCGCAATTCGCGCGCAAAGCTTTCTGGGATAGCGTCACAATTCACAACGCCATATTTTAAAATTTTTTTGTTTTAAACTTTCCGCTCGAAATGGCTCAAATACAGAGCTTTTATTGAGCGAAACTGTTATTTATTGTAAAGATAAAAGATCCGGGATGACTGGGAAATATCCAGGTAAGAATTTTGTTATGTTTTATATATAAATAGAGCAATTTTGAAAGGAAATAGTTACTATCTTCATTCGTGAATTTTGAGCACATGTTCCGGCTTAAAATTTCAATTTGCTGCGACAATATTTGAATTAAAACAACATTAGTTTTATAGAATGGCTTACATTTGACTCAGCCTTTATATTTATAAATGATGTTTATTGTAATGCCAAATAGTATACTTTGATCTTTGTGTATACTATAGTGTATATGACA